CAACGCAGTCTCTGGGGAGAGCACCCCAACAGTGTTGCCAGAGGTCCTAGCTGCCTGTCCTTAGCGTGACAAGAACATGTTCATCAGGGCCGTGAAGGGCATTGAGTGAGAACGCCCACGGAAGAGGGTCTGATCCAGGCGGAGCTGCCTTGGTGTTCGCAGGGCACCCAGGAAATGTGGGCAACAGACCGGGGTCGCCATCTCAGCGATGGTGGCAGACGACGCAGCGCCTCTCCTGCAGGGGCTCTCCAGCAGAAGCGTGGGCGGAGCTCTGGGGGTCCATCCCACAGGCTTCCTTCCCTGTAAGATCCGCAGACCCTCGCAAGCCAACATGCACTTCCAAGGTGACGGAGCCGAAGCTCCCTCCCCTGCCTGGGCTGCAGGTCTCTTCCGAAAGGTGCCGGCTGAGTGAGGACAGAGTGGGCAACAGGACTGGGGGGGCGGCGTGGGCAACCCAGGGCCCCCCGGGCGGTGCCTGCAAGGGCCAGTGAGGTTCAGACTCCTCTGACACATGACGCGGCCTGCGTGCACGCGGCCCGGGCGGCTCGGGGCTCGGCCTCCGCTCCGGCCCCGCGCCCTGCTGCGTGGTGGCACGTCCACATGGCTGTCCCTGCGCCCCCCCCCCCACCTCCGACCTCCAAGGACAACCTCAGTGCTGCCCATGCGCCTCACCCAGGACACCTCTGCCCGCAGAGCCCTGCGGTGCACGTGGCAGGAGGAGGGGCGGCGAGGGCCTGTGCACCGGGGGTCTGCCTGCGGGCTGGGCTGGGCGCCATGCGCCCCCCACCCCCCGAGTGGTGGAGGGTCTGCGGACGTTCGTTTTGGTTTACAGAGCTGTGTTTGCTGGTTCAGAGCACCGTGGCACGTCAGCACGACGGTGAACTTGAAGCTCGGTGTCCCAGCTGCTTCCTCAGCGCTTTTTAAGTGGCCAGCCCTCTGGCAGAGGGGGACAGGCTGGCAGAGCCCCCAGGGCTGGGTCTGGGGCCCTGTGTGCAGTCCCCCAGGCTCCCCGAGCCGGAGGCCCCTCAGAGAAGCAGGGGAGAGGCAGGGAGGGACCATGCTGGGCTATTTTCCTTGGGTCCAGAGGTGGCCAAGGAAAATAAAAAAATCTTTGTTAAATTAACTTCCTCAGAGAGTCGGTAACTTAACGTTCCATTTGCATATTGTAATCTTAAAAACCAACAAAAATGGTTTACATCCCTTCTCTAGAAAATTGTCCAGCAAAGCCACATGACTGATTGGCTGTGGTGGCCAAGAAAAAGAGGCAAGAATTAGGAGCGACCCCTCCCTCCAAATTCCAGAAGAGGCGGCGTGCGGAGGAGGGGCCGGCTTCCAGGGGGAAGACGGCGGGCTTGTTCCGAGGTGGGGGTGGGGCAGAGTCCGCGCTGGAGCCTGGGGTGTGCAGGGAGCCGTGGGGCTCGGGGGCACCAGCTCCGCGAAGGCGGGGCTGAGTAAAGAGGGTGATGATGGGGACAGGGGGCCCCTGGGAGGGGACGCAGCACAACCGCCTGAGCAACCCCACGGCCCAGGGACTCCGGCCCCTCCAGGGGCGGGGCCTTGGGGGTGGTGAGGAAGGGGCAGCTGTCCACCCATCCGTCACGGAAAGCAGGCAGGGAGGAAGGGGGGAAGGGCGCCTGCGAGGGGCTGCCGAGCAGAGAGGCCTCTGTCTTCTGAAACGAGAGGGACGTGCTGACGTGTACCCTGGGCTGGCCCCCGCTTGGAAGGCCGCCAGGGGCCATCTCGGACGGCGGCCTCTCCGCTGCCCGCTGGGAGCCGAGGGCTGCTCTCCACTCCTGTCCAGACTCGACCCCCCGCCCTCCTGAGTGCTGCCTCTCTGTGCCCCCCGGGCCCCTTGAAGGCAGCGGACAAGTGGGGTGGGCACGCTTTGCAGGGGCTGAGGAGGAGGGGCGGGGCGAGGGCGGGAGGAGGCAGTGGGGGCGGGAAGGCAGCCCGTGGCTCCAGGAGGGCCCTCGGAGGCCCCGGAGGGGCGGCGGCCGTGTCACCTCCACGCTTGCTCTCCGGGAAATACCCTGCCCTTGGCAAACGCCGGTGGCCTCTCTCGCCAAAGATGGTCTGATGTCGCGGCCCATTCATTAAATCGTCGTTAAAGCCTCAGGGGACCCAATTTTGCTCGTTAGTAAATGCATGTCAAACCCCTACGCAAGGCAATTAATTCACTTCCAGAAAATTAATTTTTAAAGTTAAGCAAAGAGAGAAGAGCTGATCTGGAGCGAAGACAATATTTATGCCCCATTAAAAACGGGGTTAAAATATGGAACTAATTGTGTTTATACAACAAATGGAAAAACGTGCTGCGACAACCCCCACCCGTGCAGCTGCGTGGACACCTTTCCTGGGTGAAGGCCCGGCCGCCAAGCCGTCCGGAAGTGCCCGCGTCCCAGAGCTCGCCTTGAGTTTGAGGAGAGAGACATCCCCCTGGGAGGCCCCGCACCGCCTCACCCGCCCTCCTCACCCGCTCGTGCCTCCTGCTCCCTCCGAACCGGACCGTCCCTGCTGTCACACTCTGCCACCTGACCGCGTGCCCCGCGAGGCCGGCCCCGCCCCACACGTGGCCTCAGCTCCTGCCTGCACCGCATGATGGCCGGGGGTCCTCCGCCAGGACCAGGCCACCCTATGCGACAGGAGCCCCGCTTCCGGGTGAAGAGGCTGTGTCTGGCCTGCGGGGTGGAGAGAGGGTGCCGGCTCCAGGCCAGGAAGCCAGGCTGCTCGGGGCCCTGGCCTCGGGCTCTGTTCCCCTCACACACAAAAACGCACGTCCTCACAACGGGAGCCAGACGGGCCTTTGCTTCTCACAGCCAAATGCAGCCTGAGAGCACGTGACACACAGTCTCTGAGCCGCCCGGGTGGAAGAACCCAAGCCCCAGCAGCTGGGGTGGGCGCAGAGCCGCGGGGTCTGGCCCCCCACTCCCATTCCTTCCCCACCACTGGTGGCCCTTCCTGCAGACATAGCACGTTCCTCTCGGTCTGAGACAGAGGGCCCTGCCATTTCCTGCAGCGTGTAGGCCTCCCTGGAGAGCATGACCAGGTGGCTCCCCCTGACTTTGCGTGGAAGGAGAGAGCACATCAGATTTCGCCTTCCCACAGGCCTGTGGTGGAGAAGGGCCTCCGTGCCGAGGGCAGCGGCTCCGTCCACCACGGCCCAGCTGCGCAGGACCCCGATGCCGCCTGGCATCCCGACCCAGCGCCAACGAAATGGGCCTCTCACACGATGGAAAGCCAGAACCTAGTGTGGCTTGAGCAGCGTCCACCGCTCTGAGCAGATCGAACGCCAGCGAGGACCACCAGCCCTCTGCCTGCGCCTGCACCCGCTGGGCCCCAGGGGCTGGAGGAATTCGCGCGACAGAAACGCAGACACCAACATGATGTTCTCATGGGGGAACGGACGCCAATCCCAAGAAAAACAGCAGGCGAAATTCCTGGGTTTCCTGATGCTGCTTGCAGAGTTGGACAGTCCGTGGGGGTGGAGGCCCGCCTGCCCGCCAGCCGCTGCGAGAGCCAGATAATATTTTCTCGGTCTTATTTTAGGGTGAGTAACTTTGTAAACAACCTTAGTGACCAATCCACAGACAGCTTGTCTAGACCCTTACTTGAAGCAGAAGGTCACCGGGGAGGCAGACATCCCACATGTACTTCAGGCATGTGACAAAGTGCCATGGCCTGGCCAGCTCTGGCTCCCGACGGGGGCCCTCACCTCACCCCCAAGTGCTGGGGTGGGGGGGCAGTGCAGCTGGTTCTGGAGGCGCCAGGTCAGCACAGGGGGCAGCGCTCCATGGCCGGCGAGCGAGACGAGGAACGTCTCCTACCAGGGCCGCCCGCCCCGCGCCGAGACCAGGGACTGAGGCGCATCACCGTTTGGGAAGGCGGATGTGGAAAAGCACCGAGTGAGCAGGAGTGCGTGGCTCCAGCAGAAGAGGCAAAGGGACGTCCGAAACGCTCTTGTTGGGCAGGAAGAACGCCCGGGTCCCAGGAAGCCCTTCCGGGAGCTAACAGCGCAGGCTCCGGATCCGGAGGTCGGGGTCCGCCCCGCCCAGCGCGGCCCCGCGGAGGCCCCGCATCTGCGCACACTCGTGCCCCGGGGCACCCAGCCCCGCCACTCACCCTGCGTCCCATCCAGTCCCACCACCCTGCAGCTGGGCCTCAGTTTCCCACCTACAGAAGACAGAACACACCCCATCCTCAGGGTTGTTTTGGGAAATAAACACGTAAGCAAATGTATAAACCGCATGGAACCGGGTCTGGCACACAGAGATTGCCTCGACGACCGCCAGACGTTCCTGTCCTGGCGGCAGCCACGTCACACCGACACCACCGCCCCGACTCCACCATCACTGGGCCCACCTCACAGCCTCGGGGCGCCCTGGCCCGGGCCCTGCCCACCAGCAGGGGTGGACGGTGCCGCCTGCCCGCCCGGCAGGGCGACTCCCGGCGAGGTGACCTTGGCTGCGGAAACCCGCGCGCCTCGCTCTCCTCCCACAAAACACCCTGCGCAGCCCCACTTTAATCAGAAACCCTTACCTTCTGGGTCAAGTGAAAATTCCCCCGCCTGAGGCAGGTCGTATTCAAAGTCATGACCGTAACAGAGACACTATTCCACTGTACCGGAGGTCAGGTGCCTGGGAAAGCCGGCACTGAACGCCTCATTTATCCACAGTTATTGGATAATGATGATAATGCGGTGGTGAAATTGTTTCAGAAAACGAAAACTCATTTTTTAAGCAGCAAGCCAACTGTCGTTATTTTTTTTAGTCTTTTTCACGAGATGACTCCTAAAACACACAGGCCCGTCCCTGACTTAATGAATGAAATTTTGGCCAATAAATTAAAAAAGCCTTGCTGGGCAGCCAGTATAATTGAAAGAGGAAAAGAGCCAAGAGTCAAGATCCCACGATTGCCCTTCCTTCTTCCTAAAGTAATGAGCCAGCACGTCCGTCCTGACCCCAGGGCCCAGCAGCCTGGCGCTCACACCAGGGGCAGCTCACCTGCTTCGCAGTGGCCTGGGCGGGAGGCAAGGAGCCCGATGGGAGCGCGGGGGGGCTCCCCGCGCCGCACAGCTCGGGGAAAGGGTTGGGGATGGCCGGCAGAGATGAGGTTCTGAACTGCTGGTCTTCCTCCTGCAGGCGCCTGGGAGGAGAGACAACCACTGGTTACAAGTTGCCGCCCACTGTGACCCAGCAGTCCCCCTCCGGGGGACATCCCCAGGAGGAAGGGGCACGCGATCGGGCCGGTGCATGGGAACCACTCCAGGACTGTTCCCAGCCGCCGAAGGCGGAAGCGACCCACGCGTCCACCCACGCGTCCACCCACGCGCGGGCGGAGAGCGGAAGGCGGCCTCCCCGGGCGAAAGGACGTTGTTTAGCCTTGAAAAGGGATTGTGCTGTGACATGTGTCGCAACGTGGACGGACCCGGAGGGTGCTATGCTACGGGCGACCCTCCGGTCACAGACAGACGGGTCCTGCGCGAGCCCGTGCTTGGCGGTCCGTTTCAGAGGCAGAAAGGGGCGCCGCGGGCGCCTCCGGGGGCAGGCGGGGCGCGGAGCTGTGTTCAGCGGGGACAGAGTTTTGATTTTGCAACATGACAAAGTTCTGCAGATTGGCTGCATGGCCCCGTGCACGCACGCAACCCTGGGGCTGCCCCCTTAAACATGGCCAAGGTGGTGAGCTTTACATTAGGTGCATTTTACCACAATTTCACACACACACACACGCCACCACCTCCGACCCAAAGGGGGCAGCTTCCTTGACTCCGAGAGGCGCCGCGCACTCACATTGCACAAGAGGCGCGCGCCTCGCCCGCCCCCTCAGCAGCTCGGGCCCAGGAACCCGACCTGCGGAAGGATTTTGTGAGCGGGAGCACATTTTCCGATGGCCTTGAACTGAGCGTGTCTCTAACTAAACAGACACGCCAGCAAGGGCGCTCTGCGTCCTCATCTGAATTGGGACTGGAACGCCTCCTTCCGCACAGAGGCGGGCGGCACTGAGTTGGCATGGACGCTTCACAGAGCGGTCCGCGCCGGCGCACAAAAGCCCGTGTTCGTGCCACCCCAGGGAAGCCCGGCCGCACCCTCTCACACTGCTGATGCCGCTTCTGAATCGATTCCCCCTCCCTCTCTTTGGTGCTTCTCCAGAGCTCCCTCCGCCCAGGAGCACGCACCTCCTCTGTCCCACAACCATGCAAAACATACACGGAGGACAGATGAGGTGCAATTAGGAAAATAACAGAAAAATCAAGCTCATAGTTGAAGCAGAAATAGTGCAAGGTGCCCTGTGTTCCCTCCCCACAGGTGTCCTGCGGGCGGCTCCCTGCCCCCCGGCCCTGAGCTTTGCTGGTGGGGAGCCCCCCTGTCCACCCGAGGGAGAGGGCGTCACAGCCCACTGCGCTGACGCCTGGCACAGCTTGGCCCCGTCTCTGCGCGGAATTCCAGGTCCTTATCTGCACATCCCTCGTGTAAGCAGTCTCTTCGCAGTGTTGGGTCGTCAGTTGTACAATTTGACCGCCCTCATACGATCCATCAGCTCTCTTGGGAGGCTCCCAGCGCAGAAGTGAACACTGTAAGCGTTTCACAAGCCCCCCTGACTCGGAGGGAGGCCTATCCCATGTACCCCCTCTGCAGGCCCTGCTCACCCACGGGAGCGAGCGCACAGCCCCCGGAGACCGACTCCGTGCTGTGCAGATGGACGCCCTTTTTTAATCCCCGACGACAGGCCGGAAAGTTCACCATCACTGTTGACAGTTATCACCCCCTGCCCCTGCCCCCGCCCCCGCCCCCGCCCCCAGCAACAGCTCCGGTCTGAGCGGGGCGTCCAGTGGACACACGGGTCCCTTGTGTAGAGGGAGAACGGAGACGTGGACGCGCCCACCTTCAGAGCCTCCCTGCCCAGACCTCGAAGGAGGAGCCCAAAGGACACAAGTTTGTTTTGACTCGTGGTGCAAGGTCCTGGCGCCGAAACGTTCCCCTTGTTCCCCAGAGCTCCCCTTTAGCAGGTCCTTCTGAGCCTTTATAAGGTCCTGTATGTTTCCAGGCAGTAAAAGTACCCTGGACGGTGGCATAGGGATGGGTTCCGGCTGCTGCTCATCTGTCCAAACCCATCAAGTGTCCAACAGCAGGCGTGAACCATCACGTATTCTAGCGACTTGGGGTGGTGGCGATGTGTGGACGTAGGTTCATCGATTATGACAAACATTAACATCTCTGGTGCAGATGTTAATCATGGAGGGGAGTATATAGAACATTTCTGTATCTTCCTCTGAACTTGGCTATGAACTGCTTTTAAAAGTAAATTCTTAAAGAAAACTGTACACAAAATGTAGAAAATAAGTAAACCCCCAGCGGTAGTGTTGACGGGTGGCCGCGGCTGTGGGCAGGGCCGGGGGCCCTGCTGGGTGGGCGAGGACTTCCTGCGAGGACGGAGATGTCCGGGAACCGGAGACAGGTCACGGCACAGCGCTGGGAGTGTCCTGAATGCCGAACTGTCACTTTAAAGGGGTTATTTTTATGTTGCGTGAAGTTCATCTCAATAAATTAGGATTCCAAGTGGACTTCGCAGCAGTTCAGGGATATCACCGAAAGCGAAGCTAAGGGACACTGCACAGGCTGAAAACAATCGCGGTCCGGGAGGGCGCAGCGAGGACAGGCCCTCCGCTGTCCCAGCGGGAGGCGATCGTGGAGCCCGAGCGCAGATGCAGGGACTGGGGACTCGTGAGCCCGTGCCTCCAGCAGGCCCCGGGGGTCCTCCGGGTCCAATGGGGAGGGCCCTCCACCTTCTCCAGAGTCCTCAGACAGTGGCAGTGCCGGGGCACAGTGGGCGCCCCTGCTCCCCGGGCCTCTGTGACAGGCAGCTTGTCTCTGGCCCCTCCAGCCCGTCCGCCTGCGTTTGCATCCGAGCTGAGCGCAGCAGCCGTGCGCCATGTCAGCACCCGGGCCACGGCTGCCTCACCCGGGCGCTCAGGGCCACCAGGCCGCTCACCGCGCAGGGCTGCAGACAGCCCTCCGCCAGCTAAGAAACGGGGACCCAGCATCCTTTAACCCAGGAAGCATTCCGCATGCGCCAGCAGCGTCTGGCACGCGCCGGACGTGCTCCGTACTGTACCGGAAGCACGCCCCCGAAACGGGAGCCATGCACCGGAAGCCCCCCGACACTGCACAGGAAGTGTTCAGCGGACGCCCTTGCAAAACCGTTCGGGGCCCTATGCGTGGTACCCCAAACTTTTCAGGGTGCAGTACATCTCTGTGGACAAGGGCTCCGTGTGCACCCGCGTCCCTAGGACCCCTCGCCTTGTATGGCTGGGACGACCTCTCCCCTCCCCAGCCCTGGCAACCGCCAGGCGACTCTCTGCGTCTGTGCGCTTGACTGTTTCAGATCCCACGTAGGAGCAGGGTCATGCGGTTTGTCGTCCGTGACAGGCTTATTTGTTAGCATCCTGTCCATGTTGCTGTCTATGGATGAATGCATAAAGGAAGTCTGCTCGGGTGCCTGCACACGTGGGTTATTACCCACCTGTAAAAGGAAGGGAACCCTGACATTTAGGGCACCAGGGATATCACCTCTCTGCTCGCAAAATCTTTCCCTCAAGCCTGGGCTCCCCCTCACCCTTCAACACCCACCTCTGCCCCCTGCCCCCTGCAAGGGGCCCTCCTCCACTGCCCCGGGCCCCTCCGTCCAGCCTAGTATTTCTGGAGACTCCTCTGCTCACTGCCCTGGGGAAGGTCATCACATGTCTGCAGCGCACCTTTCTGCAAGGGCCGGGGGAGGCCGCTGTCCAGGTCCTGGGCCCTGCTCTGGGCAGTGAGGCCTTGGAGCCCTCTGTTGATTACCCAGAGATTTCATTCTTTTCAAAAGATGCTCCTCTGACCGTTCCCTTCACCTCCTTCCACCTGTCATGGCGCATGGCTCAGAGAAGCGGCTCCATACATCACCGCAACTACGCCAGGTACCCATCCCAGCGTGGCGTGCCGTCCAGAGTGGATGTACGCACCTGCCCGTGGAGTTCAGGAGGCCCCACCATCCCCCTCCCCGCCGTGTGCGCACGAGCGGAGTCCAGCATGCCCTCTCTGCGGCCGCACCCTCCCCACCCTGAGGCCCAGGTCCTACCTGACGGCCAGGATGTGCATGGGCTGGGAGCGCTGCACCTTCTGCTGTGGGGACGCCTGCGGCTGGGCAGGCCTGGCCCCCGAGGGCGGGGGCTGGTCGCGGGCGTGCTGGCCGTTCTGACGCAGGGGTGCCGTGTCCGACTGCATGTTGCAGGCTGGGTACAGGCTCTCCAAGGATGCACTCATGTCGCTCACCAGAGCTTCCAGGTCCACGTCATCCTCTGGGCAGCGAAAAGCAAAGCGAGAAAGAAACTTGAGCGGCCGCGAGAGGTCACAGCCAAGTGTGCACCTCAGCGACCGGGTTCCAAAACTCACTTTTAAAAATCCCGTTTGAGGGCACAAGCGCATGACCAAGAAGTCGAAATTTCAGCGAGGGTTAATGCCTATTGTGTTTAGTAATGTGTACTGATATTCCAGAGGCGATTCGATCATTAGGAGTCCAACCGCACTTGCAGCTGCCTGTGCAGGAAACCCCTTCCGAGCACCTTCTCAGCGCACATCCGCATCGCGGTGGGGGCCGCGCTCAGCCGCGGCTGCGCGGTGTGACCCTCCCACCCTGGCCTCAGCTGGCGGGGTCAGGGGCGGACATGGAGCCCGGATTAGGCCCCTCAGGATCCCCCCTTCCCTGGAAATCTACAAGAAAAATAGAAACAGAGCAGCACCCACCATGACACCAGCCCGGGCCCACCAGAGCCACCAGGAGGGCTCCCCAGCGGCCAGAGCCGTGGCGGAGAGGCTCGCTGCATTGCATTGCTGTGGGCCACCAGGCGCACCCTGCCGTGCCCTGGCCTGGCCTGAGAGCCAGGGGAAGCCTGTCTTCCTGGGAGAGGGCCCGAGCAGAGGCGGAGAGAGAAGCAAAGATGGCGCAGAGCAAACCAGTGAGGATGACGCAACATGCCAAAAGAGAGGTGCTCCTGGAGACATGGGTGGATAATTTTATGTGTTGACTTTGCTTGAGCACGGTACCCCAGTATGTGGTCAAGCACGGTTCAGGGTAACGTTGATAAGGTATTGCTTCTATGTGATTAACATTTAAATCCGCAGACCAGGCGAAGCAGACGGCATCTGCAACGTGGGGGTGAGGCCTTAACAGAGAAGCCTGAGGCCCCCTCAGCAAGCGGGGATTCGGCCTTCAGGCTCCTCCCTGCAGCTATTCCCTGGGCCTGCAGCCTGTCGGCCCACCCTGCAGATCCTGAACTTGCAATTCCAGAGCCGCGTGAGCCAATTCCTGAAACACCCGCCCTCTGTCCCGTGTGGCTGTGTACGTGTGTGTGTGTACATGCACATCCTGCTGGTTCTGTCTCTCTCGAGAACCTGGCTCATCCCCGGTGAGGGACGGAAGCCAGTTCTCCCGGAGATGCAGGAAGGGCCGGGGAAGGGACAGAGCTGGAGGCCGGGGCGTGGGCCGGGCTCCGGGCAGCTGTGCCTGGCTCCGCTCCCACCCTTTCTAAGGCCTGGCTGCTTCCTGCTGGGAGCTCTGGAAAACATTCCTGCGTCCGTGTAATCGTTGTGCTTCAGCTAGTTTGAGTTAGTTTCTCTCGTTTGTAACCCAATACGTTATAATAATACTGACTCCTTTTTTCCGCGTTTTCCAGTTCTGTCACTTTTTAACAACTTGGTAAATAACAGCTGAGGGCGACTCCGAGGCAGCACATTGCAGGTCACGTATTCAGTCCCGTTTGTTCCCCAATGGCCCCATGTGACGCCCACTTAACAAACAAGGGGCTCAGGGCTCACGGCGGCAAGACCCTCGGCCTCCCCGAGCCGGCGGCTCCTAACTGGCAGGACGGAGAGCCGGGGGAGGTCACTTGCTGGGAACGGCCGGCCCTGGCCCCGGCCCAGCGGCCCCGGTTCTGTTTTTTCTGGCCGGGGGTGAGCGGCTGTGCCGCCGGGGGGAGGGTGTGAGCAGTGGGTTAGTTATTATCTGCTCCGTAGCAGAGCCTGGCACATGGCAAACACTTGGGAAATGTTACTTATTAGCTCTATTCCACCGATTCCTGCAGAACAATATACAGGGTGACCATTAACCTGGCCTGCCGGCGGGGGAACGGGCCTGGAGGAATTCAGCAACTTGCCAAGATCTCACGAGCACTCAGTTGCGAACCTTGAATTGGAAAACAAGTTTGGCAGCTACCATTTGAGCTCACCAGGTGTGCACTCAATGAATGAGCTCACAGAACTTTCCGGAACACTCTGCCCTCCCTCCCTCTCCCACTCCCAACACAAACGGCTACTAAGGTGCAAGGGCACAAAAAGACAGGATGAAGCGAAAAGAGACCAACACCCGTCTGAAGGAGGCAGGCGCGCCAGCGGCCAGGCCAGGGAGGCTTTGGACGGATCGCGCAGAGGCTGCAGGAGAATCGACGGGCAGAGGGACGGGAGGGACGGGGAGGGGACCATGCGGGGCTGCAGACACGGCCGCTCAGGGACACGGAGGCCGGGTCAGCGCGGTGGCTGCGGACACCAAGGGCGGGAGCCCTGTGCACAGGCGGCTGAGGAAGAGGGGCCGGGGCGGCGGGGGCTGGGAGCCCCCCCTTGGACCCAGAGTCCTGACTTGGGTCCTGCATTTCTAGGGCCTGTGAGGGAAAACGAAGACGTTGCTATAGCTCGGGTTATGAGCAGTCAAATATTAATCCTGAGGCCAGATAGGAAGAGGACAAAAGTGCTGAATTAATCATTAATAATGACCATGGCATTAATATTTAATGTGTCACATGGCAGGACACCGAAGTCAGCAGACAGAGTCCCGGGGGCAGGGGGACAGGGGAGGGAGATGGGGAGACAGGAATTCAGGGCCCCGGCGGGGCGGGGGCCCGTGCCCACGCCCCTCGTCCCCGCGGGCTGCGTGGTCTGAGAGGGGTCCTCGTCGGTAAACGGAGGAGGCAGCGCCTGCAGCGATAAAACTCATGGACGGAGGCCGCCCGCACAGAGCCACCTGCCAAACCGGGGCGCGGAGGCCCGGGGCGCCCATCTGAGGAGGCAAGGGGTGCGTGTGCTGACGCCCGCAGATCTGGGGCTCCAGGGGAGCCCGAGGACGGCCTGTCCGTCGCCAACACCGGCCGCATCCTCCGCGGACACTCAGCCGGTGACCTGCAGCGGCTTCCTGTAGGCTGCGCGACACAATCCCGCGGCCGAGCACCCCGACCCTCCCTGTTAACAACCCCAGGCTTCTGTCTCACGGGGGCCGCTTAAAGATCCATACGGGGCGGAAACACAGCTCCCTCATTCCGCAGTGACCTTCAGGATGCGGCCCAGCGGCCTGGAGGCCAAGGGCCGTCCAGCCGCGGGCCGCACGGGCTCAACTGGCCGCCTCTGCCCCTTGCTTTTCAGGACGCAAAGTAGTTCTGACACTAGTCACAGTAAATGGTAAAGGTGGACTAGATGCCGAAGTACAAGTGCAATGTCCCTCCTCACCGTGCCTTACCTCTCCTCCGAGGCGGGTTCTTTATAAAACTACTTTCTACTCTAATACATTTCATTAGGACTCTGTGCAACTCGGCCAGGTCAGCCTGATACCGTGCACTTAGTGGGCTGTAATTTTCATACATCGAGTCCCGCCACTGTACGGGCATGTTTCAGGCTTGCCTATTTTCCACAGTCCTTAGAGCAAAGATAAAACTTTATAAAGAAACCTAAAATCTCCTACTGTAGGACAAACTTTAAAATTCCTTGCAGGGCCAATTAGCATTTTATCTTTTAGATAATAAAAGCTCTTCTGGTTCCCCCATTTTATGTAAACTTTGTTAAATTCTAATGAGGACTCAGAATGGAATCTTCCACACTGGGATTTTTAAAGGGTCGATTCCAAAGACAATACTTCTCCACATCCTTTAAAATACTCCTGCTCTAAGACGTCACTGAGCGGCATTCATTTCCTGCAGACGGTCCACGTGGCTGACATTCGGTGTCCCGGTCCACGCGGGACGGCCCGTGTGCCTGTCACTGCGGGCGGCCCCTTGCGTGAGGTCTGTGAGGATCAATAATCAGCCTCTTGTCCAAGCCTTTCTGCACAGTCACATTTGATTGGCAGAATCAAATACTCAGGGCGGGAACCAAAAAGATGCTTCTGGAAATGAAAGCAAACACCACGTGTCTATTCAGTGCTAACTCGATGCCAAAATGCTTTCCGTGGGAATGCACCGCGCTCCGGCAGGAATGCTGGAAGGGGAAGGAAAACGGTTTTATAATGCACATCTCTCTCCGCGCGCATTTATAAGGATGCATTTACTGCACAAATGTAGGTCAAACAACACGGTGGTAAGTCAAGATATTAATAGCTCCTTTCCTTCCTAGAATAACTCAATCTAAAACGGGCATCGACTTTTGTCCCAAATATCTGAGCCGCTCATCTGATCGCACACCCACATGTGCACCTCGCCTCACCGTCCTTCGCAAGTTGAGGCCAGGTTAGCTCTCAGAGGGACGGAAATGCCAGGGAACGCAGTCACGGCCGGCTCCTCAGTTCCCCGGGCGAACCTCTTCCTTCACCCAGGCCCGGAGGGGCCCGCCCCCGAGCAGCCGCCGCCGCAGGCGCAGGGGAGGGCGAGGTACGGGAGACTTGCCGCCATCGGAGGCCCCGTCTCGCTTCCTTCGCGACACCGGCTGGGTTCGCAGACCATCTAGGGTCAGCTGGGACGGGACGTTAATGATAACACTGGGTCCGCTGTACCAAACTGTCGGGGCGCCTTGAAGAACTGTTCTTCGCGCTGCGCGTTCAGGGTACAGCCGCACTGCCCTTCCTGCGCTTACAGACCGTCTGGGCCCTCACAACACCTCCAGGGGCGGGTGGGCGGGGCGTGCCTGCTCACAAAGCTAAGCCCCAGGGTGGGAAGTGAGCGGGAGCAGACAGGGCCTGGTCCCCAAGAGCAGGCGGCACTGGGAGGCTGTGGCAGAGTAAGAAGAGCGGTACCTCCCTCCCGGCTCCGGTTCGGCACCCGCCCAGGGTCCTGGGGGCCTCCTGTGTGACAACAGTACCCGGATCACCTCTGGGGACAGCATTTGGTCTTTGGTTGTTCCTGAAACAACTCCAGACGTTTTATAAAAGTGAAAGGAGCTTCTTCTGTTGCTCAGAACCGGCTCCTTGCCACCACACCTGGGTTTATGCTAATAAGGCCCCCAGAAAACCGCAGGATGGGGGCCGGTTGCCAGGGGAACCAACCCAGTGATGAGAGGCACTTTCAGCCCCACCCTCCTGACCTCCAGGGAAGAGATGGGCTAGGGA